GGGGGAGCCCCACAGAGATGGCCTCGGACCCTGCTCTGCGATCACTCTCCCATCATCCTGAGTGAGGAGCTGAGCCTCTTTCCTCATCCCCTCAAAAGTGCGGCCAGGAGATGGGGGGGCGGGGACCTGTAATAGTGTCAAAAATAAAAATGAAAATATTTTTCAAAGTGTGGCCAGGGATCACCCAATGTGGCTCAGTGGTTGAGCATTGACCTATGAGCCAGGAGGTCACGGTTCGATTCCCGGGTCAGGGCACATGCCTGGGGTGCAGGCTCGATCCCCGGTGGGGGAGTGCAGGAGGCAGCCGATCAATGATTCTCTCTCATCATTGATGTTTCTATCTCTTTCTCCCTCTTCCTTCCACTCTGAAATCAATAAAAATATATTTTTTAAAAAAAAAGTATGGCCAGGGATGATGCTAGGACCTCCAGCATGAGGCATTTGAGGATTAAATATAATTAAATATTAAATTAAATATGAAGATTAGGTAAAACTAAGTTAAAAATTGTAGGCCTTTGTAGGTAGGTAAATGCTATGTTAATATTACTGTTATCCTTTTGGGGACCTAGAGGAATGCCCGACACTTCCCCAGGCTGAGCGCTGCTCAGGTGGGGACCATGGGGCTCTGTTCTGAGCGGCTGTGAAAGCCCCCGAGGAAAAAGAGAACAAGATCTCCACCCAGTTAGACAGAGAGAGAGAGAGAGAGAGAGAGAGAGAGAGAGAGGCCCAAGTCAGTGAAAGAAACACTCTGAGAAGAACCTAATTTTTATATAGAAGATGGGAAATGAATTCCAAGACTAGTGATGGCAGCAAGTATCTTGAATGAATAGAAACGTAATATAATCCATGGCCTTCGGAGTAAAATTACAGAGAAAAACCCACCGAGCCACCACTCAGCAGCCAGCCACCTGGGGCCCTGACACCCCGTGTCACTCTGATGAGGAGCCTGGGACACAGTCTCGCCTCCGGCGGGCTGTCGGCGAGCGGGGGTGGGAGCTCACAGAGTGAAAATATAACCAGGGTGCATTTGAGGTAACATCCGGGCTGCCGCCCCTGGAAGCACCCTCCAGCTGACACACGGGATGGCGTCCTTCCTTCTCCTCGAGCGGAGGGTCACACCCTAGGCACTGCCCCTCTATGCCAGGGGGCAAGTCTGGCTTTGGGTTTGAAGATGATAGAATCATCCTTTCCAACGCAGCAGTTATTCTCTGGATCTTCTGAAGCAGGAGTGGGGCACGTCCGGCCCTCAGGCCAGAGCAGGCCCGCAAAATCATTGGGTCTGGCCCAGCCGAGGCGTTAGGGAGAGTTAATTAAATGCTTAACCACACGCAGCAGGCTAGTTTTTAAGTTGATAATTCTGTGTGGGCCACGAACGATGTTATAAATATCCAGTGGCGCTTGGCAGAAGGAATGCTCCCACCCCGCACAGCACCGTTAGAACCCGTGGTCACTAGGCATTTACCTATTTAGGGCAAACTGAGTTGGCCAGCAAGTCAGTGCCTGGGGCAAGTGGGCCCTGGGAAGCTGTCGACTGAATGTGCCAGCATCTTCAGAGACAGGAAGGGACACCGTGATGGGTCCCTGGTACAAGACGCACTAGGAGCCCGGCTGGAGGTGCTCAGGGGTTGAGCGTCGGCCTATGAACCAGGAGGTCAGGGCACATGCCCGGGTTGTGGGCTCGATCGGCAGGAGGCAGCCGATGAATGATTCTCTCGCTCATTGATGTTTCTCTCTCTCCCTCTCCCTTCCTCTCTGAGATCAATACAAATATATTTTTTAAAAGTTACTCTTTCTAAGCCAACATGACAGACTGGAACCGTCACACGGGGTGTGCTAGGCATGTTGCCAAGGCAGGCGAGAGCCACAGGAAGCCCATCTTAGCTGCAGTGACATAAGCTCAGACCTTCAGTAAGAAAACTGCTATCTTCCTCTATTTTGTCCTGGTCAGATGTCGACCGTCAACCTCAAATCACCCCGATGTCAACGCCCAGGCTGCTGAGGGCCGGACGCCAGGTCCCCTGAAGGCTGGCTGAGGGCCCGGGAGGGTGCGCGTGAGAAGTCGAGTGAGGAGGCAACAACTGGCTCCAGAGGATGCTTCTGCGAAGAGGAGTTAGACGTCTGCACGTGAGGCAGAGCCAGGGCGCTGGAGATGCGTGACAGGGAGACGTGTTCGGACTCGGCGTGAGGGACGCGTGTCTGACGATTCCATCATCCCACAGGAACCCACCAGCTCTTGGAAGGAACAAGTGATGGTGTTTGTTCAATGCTGGGTGACTGTCTGGTGAGGACGGAGTGACAAGAATCTTGTATTTCCTATGTGAATCATCTAATTCCTACATGGTTTTATATCCTATATTCCTTCCTGATCAATGTCCTTGGAGTGGCAAAAGCTGGTGAATATATCAATGGATTGGAGCGCAGGAATGGGGGTGCGGCCCTGGGGACAGCACTCTCCACGGCCTCGGGTCCTTCTGAGTAAAATCTACTCTAGCTGGTGGTCATTCCAGGATGTTAATAATTTAGATGCCAGCCAAGTTCGTTTTTAGCTAGAACATCGTTATTTTTTTAGTCAGAAAATAGCTCTGTGGCTGTTTTTGTTTTCGTGCTTTGGTAATTTGGATAATTCCATTTTTGTCCTCTACTAATATTTTGGTGTTGTTCCCTTTGAAAATTTCTCACCTATTTCTTCTAAACTTGAGCTAAAGAGGGTTTGGCTCAGTGGATAGAGCATCGGCCTGTGGACTGAAAGGTCCCAGGTTCGATTCCGGTCAAGGGCATGTACCTGGGTTGCGGGCACATCCCCAGTGGGAGATGTGCAGGAGGCAGCTGATGGATGTTTCTCTCTCATCGATGCTTCTAACTCCCTATCACTCTCCCGTCCTCTCTTTGAAATCAATAAAATATATTTTAAAAAAAATAAAGAAGGAATGGGTTTTCTCTCAGCCTCGACAAAAGGATGGTGGCAAGTAGGGTGGGCCAGGGTCCCAGTTTGCCTAGGACTTAGGGGTTTCCCAGGACAAGGGACTTTCAGTCCCAGGCGCACTGGGTGATCGGGCTCCCTCGTGGCGAGAAGACGCAGGTTGGGCCATGGCTTGGAGGAGTGGTCCTGGGAGGGCTTTCCTGTTCACTGTCTCTGTGGAGTTTCCCTCGTTGCCCCACGAAGTGGTGTGGTTTTCATTACAAGGTACACTCCCTGATGGGAGCTGGTGGAGGTCCAGGGAGAAGTGCGGGGCAGCCTTTAAACGAGTCACACGCCCTGAATGAGACAGCGATTGCCAGGAAAGAAGCTGAAATGCTTGACTAGCATAAAGGCTGTGGGGATTTTCCCTCTCTCTTAAAAAAAACACACACGCGCACACACACACACACACACACACACACACAGAAAAGACCCAGTGGAAAAAAAAGTGATGAGCTGTGAGGCAGGCAGCAGGTCCTACGCAGCCTGGCCCGGGGCAACTGCGCACGGCTCATTTGCTTAAATTTGCACCTGTCGGCTGCCACCTTCCTATAGGTGCCGCCGGGGAGTTTCTCAGCATCAGACCACGAGTGGCCGGTTTGGGGACAGACAGCTACAGCTATGAACTACCCCTTAACCCTGGACATGGACTTCATCATCAACTACAACCTGGAGGACCTGGTGAGTAGGGACAAATGGTTGCCCAGGCCCTAGCTGGAATTCTAAATATGCCCAGGAAGAGGGGACGGCTGTGGAGGCCCCTCCCCCTCTGCATGGACAGAATTTAGACAGACCCATGGGCCCAGTCCATGACGGAGCAGATAAGCAGAGCCGGCGCCTTACCTAGACGCCCTTTAGCGGGAGCGGAGGTGAGGGTTCGGCTCTGTGGCCTGGGACCAGTCCGTGGCCTGCCTGCTCTCCCTGCCTCTCAGGGCTGGTGTAGGACTCAGGCTGGGAAGGACTCTGGAGGGTCCTTAATCTCAGGGGGCTGGCACTTGCTCACCTCTTGCTGGACAGTTCTCTCAGGGGCACTCCGTTCTGCTGAGTGGTCTCAGCCCCACACTGGCTTGCGGTCTGGCCGAGAAAAGACAAATGACTTCCCAGACGCTCCCAGACCATCATCATTGCTCAGCGGGAGAGGTCTGAGCCAGGCGGTCAGCACGAGAGAGCAGCCAGGGGCCGGAGTCGGGGCAGGGGCCCAAGTTGGTGAGAGGACTGTTCATCCTAGAAGTGTCTTAAAACACGGTGCGGCCTCCCGCAGGCCCGGCCCCGCACTCCGGTGCTTGCGGGGCTGAGGACCGGTCCCGGCCTCACTCTGCCCCACCCCAGCCTCTCCCGTGAAGCGAGTGGTTCCGCGGGCTGGGTGGTCACTGGATCCCAGAGAATGTGTGTGTGGAGCATCTAACCAGAGACCCCAGGACTCCTGCTTGCCGGCAGCAGAGGGCTGCCTTAGGGATCTTCTGGAAACTTCTTTGTGGTCTTTTCTCCCCTCCCCCACGGCCCATGGCACTTCTGGGCTGGACTATGAAGGAACCAAACCCTTTCTCCTCACCTTCACCCCACCCTCCAGCTCCCCTGGCTGGAGTCCATATTGTAGCTCCATCCACCCTGTCCTCAGACTTGCTGGAAAGGTCTGCCTCTCGCCTGCCTGGGTCCCGGGACGTGGGCGTGAAATAGGACGCGGGAGAGAAGCTGAGGGAAGGGCTAGCTGCCTGACGTCTGGCCTAAGCCCCGGACAACAGTCGAGCCAGAGCCATCAGTCTAATCCAGACCCCGTGAAAAGGAAACAGCCTCTTCTTCAAACATTAGTCAAAGTTTCACGACAGCTGAGCACCTGCCAGGCACCGGGCTTAGCGCAGGGCCCTGCGTGGGTGCCCGGGCCTCCTGCCCAAGAGTCATGAGCTCAAGCACAGAGTCCGGGCAATACCCTGAATCAGGCTAAACCCCTACAGCCCTGACCGCCCCGGCCCCCTGAGTAGGTTACTGGGTGTCTTCCTGTGCTGCCAGCTCGAGCTGACCACCAGCCCTGACCCAGTTGGCTTCAGGAACCTGCGACAGGCCCGGCTGGTCCGGGCTTCTGAGAACCCTCACGATTTCCCCTAACTGCTCGCCTCGCTCCACTGGGTGACCTACTAGACAGGTGGTGGCTGGGGGCAGGGAGACCGGGGCAGGCCCATCCACCAGACGACCCACAGCCCGGGGAGGCGCCTGGGGACTGCTTCGTGTCGCACTTCAAACGAGTGGTCTCAGGCAGATGGCCCAGTGACCCAGTGACTCAGTCAGGGCCCATCTAGGGTGGCTGTGGGGCTCATTTGCAACCAGCTCCCAGCGCCTGGCGTCACCTGCCCTAGCTCCTGGGCGCGCCTCCGGGCTGTGGCCCCCGACGCACGGACCCCACCCGCTGGCGGCCTTTCTGACTGTCCCTGACGAGACCCTCGGGAGCAGAGTAGAAGGATCTTGCACGAAGTGGCTTCTCAATAAGTATGGATTGGTTTGCGATTTATCGAAGGTCTTAGCTCACTGTTTCTCTATGCGTTAGTCCAGCTTCAATGCCTGCTGCCTCCTGCCCCCCACCCCCACCCCCGGCCTTGCCCCCATCACAGGCTCCCGGTCCCAGAGCCCTGTCTCCATGCTCTGGGGCTGAGTAAGACCTGGGGCTCGAGGCCGTCAGCCCCTTGCCTTGGTCACCCTGTGTCCTTTCCCCTCTGGACACCTAGGCGGCAGGCCAGCAGCTGACAGGCCGCCCTCTGAAGCTGGCCGCGAACTCCCACGAGGGGAGGCTCCAAAGGGAGCACAGCAGGAAGCCCAAGTGCCAGGGCTGAGGAGCCGGCCGGGGGTCGGCGCGCCAGGACCCGTCCTGCTGGGAAGGGCAGACATAGCAAAGCCTGGTCCACAGGCACCTGGATCTGAGAGCAGGCGCCTCCTCATGACAGAACCAGGAGCTGGGCCACCTACAGGCGGGGGAGGGCATCCTAAACGGCACCTCCGGCCCCACCCTGCATCCACCCAGGGGGCAGCGACTACAGAGCAGGGAGAAGCTCGCCCATCCCCAGCTCCTGACCCCTGACCCCTGGCCCCTCGCCAGGGACAGCCCCATAAACTCTGGCTCCAGTGCGATCAGAGCAGCACAGGCTGCAGAGCCCGTCCACGTGCCATCTCCTCTCATCTCCCCCGGAGGCGCGAGCGTTTCTGAGCTTTATCTTGGGGGGAAGGAAGGAGCCCCTGCAATGAGCTCCAAAGTCCCAGAAGAACCTCAGTGGAGGAGGCCCCCTGGGTGTGATTGGAGGAGTTGGAGATGAGGGAGACCAGGGCCAGCCCGGGGAGGGTCAGCACTGGGGGCATCTGGGCTCAGGCACAGCCCGCAGCCCCCTTAGGAACTCTCGCCGCCTCGAGTCCGGTCCCCTCTGGAGCAACGGCCTGCACAGGGGCCGGCGTCCGCACCGAGAAGCAGGCCCCAGGCCCCATGAGTGTCCTCTTGGAGCGATCGGTCCTGGCCCCGGCCGAGGCCTCAAGGGCTGCTGTGCACACCCAGGAGGCTCCAACCTGCCCCTTGGGCTCCGTGGCTCTGTCTCCAAAGTGAAAATTGGTGTGGGGCGCCCAAGGGGACCCCAAAACCTAAAGACTCAGTGCGGAAGTAGGGATGGTCTAAAGTCTCCCCTCAGAACCACAGCCAGAGCCATACCCTGTTCCTAAGAGCCGAAACCCGTAAGCCTGCGGGCTTGCTCCTGATGGGGAGACGGGAGGGCGCGAGGAGAAGAGAGGAGAAGCTTGGCAAAGGGCAAGCCAGTGACCCAGGTGTTCTTTTGGGGAGTCCAATCCTCCAAAGGAAGAGTGGGGGCCCTGGCCAGTGTGCTCAGTGGGTAGAGCTTCAGCCTGGGAACTGAAGGGTCCCAGGTTCGATTCTGGTCAAGGGCACATGCCGGGGTTGCAGACTCGATCCCCAGTAGGAGGTGTGCAGAAGGCAGCCAATTAATGATTCTCATCATTGGTGTTTCTATCTCTCTCTCCCTCTCCCTTCCTCTCTGAAATCAATAAAAATATATTCAAAGGAAGAGTGTGGTGAGGGATACAGACCTCTGCCTCCCCCTCAGCCCAGGCCCATTCTTCCAGACTCCAGCCCCTCCTCAAGGGTAGAATGAGAGAGACACACTGGCTGACTCCACTCACAGCTCCCACCTCTCGGCTGGGCTATCCAGACTGGGACATGCACAGAGGCACATGTGTGCTCCCTGTAGTCAGCCGTGGTCTACACCTGTGTGTGGCTGCTCTGCCCCGGGCGTCCCGGCTCGGCCCCTTGCCCCCAACTCGGGGCTGAGAAGCAGAGTCGGGCTGGGGCGTTCATTGGCTGCAGGACAGACCAGTGAGAAAACAAAACAGCTCCCACTCAGGTCAGAGCCACATGAAGGTCAGGCTGAGACCCAGCTCCGCGCTGGGCGGGGTGGCAGCCAGGGGATCCACGCAGCTAGGAGCTGGGAGCAAAGGCCGCTGGAGGGCAGGGCAAAGCCTTCTTTCTGGAGTAGGAACCCTTCCCACACACGGGGGCTCAACTTCGTCTTCCTCCCAAGAACCCCCCGACGTTGGACAGTTCTGCCTGTTAAAAGGTTCTTTCTCCTCCGCCTGGAGCCCCTGACCCCAGCCTCTGCCCGTTCCTCCTGGTCAGCCCTCTGAGCCTCACACCACAGCCCAGCTTGCCCTCTCGCCCACGGGGCTCTTGTCAATCCTTGAAGAAGACAGTTCTCCGTCTCCTCTTCACCCCCGGATGAGAATGTCCCCCCACTGCCAGCTGCCCACTCGTGTCCAGACCAAACAACATGGGCTGGAGCTGGACGCCACCTGCAGGCTTCTGTTCACCAAGGGCAGGGCAGGGCCTTTGTTCTGCTGGGGCCATGTGGGTATTTACAACCTCATTCCCAGGCCACACAAAATTATCAACTTAGCCCGGCCAGCGTGGCTCAGTGGTTGAGCTTCGACCTATGAACCAGGAGGTCACAGTTCGATTCCTGGTCAGGGCACACGCCCAGGTTGTGGGCTCGATCCCCAGTGTGAGGCGTGCAGGAGGCAGCCAATGGATGATTCTCTCTCATCATTGATGTTTCTATCTCTCTCCCACTTCCTCCCTCTCTTAAATCGATTTTTTAAAAAAATTATCCACTTAAAAATAGGCTGCTCTATTTGGTCAAATATTCAGTTAACTCACCCCTAACACCTTGGCAGGGCCAGACCAAAAGATTCTGTGGGCCTTGCATGCCGGGCCGGACGTTCCCCACCCCTGCCTAGAGTGAGGTCACAGCAGCACTTCCGGGAGCCATGTCACCCCCTGACTCACTTACACTCTCAGTCAGCAACCTCTCAGGTCCTCTTCTCAGGCACTGTCACTGAGCCAGATCTCCCCGAGCTTGTCTCTGCCCAGCTGAGGCCTGAACCCTGAGTCTAGCGCTCTCTTCTTTCCTATCAGTTCCATCTGGTCAGTGTGTGCTCCCAGCCCAGCGTGGAGAGGGCTCTGCCTTGTCCTGGAGTGTCCCCCAACCTGTCCCCACGCCAGGGTGGAGAGTGTGAGAGGAGCAGGTCCAGGCCTGTCCCTGGGCAGCCCAGCCCCTGCCCACCTGCTTCAGAGTCCCAGGCAGCATGTGTCCTTGCCCTCCTTGGGGCCTGGGTCCCTGGCCAATGTGTGAGGTTGTGGTCCACAGGTACCTCCCTACACCCGGGCTATTGTGGCCCCACCTAGGCACATCTGTACCTATACAGGGTTCATGCTGCGCCATAGAATGTGTGCATGCAGGAGAGTGTGTGAGTGCATGCATGAGTGGTGTGCGTGCATGAGTGGTGTGCGTGCAGGAGAGTGTGCGTGCATGAGTGGTGTGCATGCAGGAGAGTGTGCGTGCAGGAGAGTGTAGAAGAGGAGAGGGTGGGTCACTGCTGGGCCAGTTGCCGGCATGTGCTGCTTCTGGGTGTAGGTCTTGGAGAGCGCCCTCTGTATCCCACGCCTCCTGGAATTCAGAATTCCCGATTCTTCACCGCCCACCCCACCGGGCCAGAGCCAACCTTGCTGGGTTTGAGGAAGGATGGAGTGCCTGATCCCCCGGGTATGGGAAGTGCTTTCTAGACCAGCTTCCTCACCTGCCACTCCCAAGCCCTCAAACCAGCTGTTTGATGGGCTGTTTGATGCTCCTGCCAAGATGTGCCAACTCCCAGCGCCCGCAGAACAGTGTCCTTCTGTCCCCTCCTGCCTGAGCGCTTCGCCAAGCAAATCCCTCCCGGCCAGAAAGGAGGTACAGACCCTCCCCGCAACCTGCATCAAAGTCTGGGTTCCTGGGAGAGGGGCCCTGGGGTCCCAGGCCATCCCACTGTGCTGGTTTTAAGTGAAAACAAATGAATCCACCAGGACGCTTTCGAGAGGGAGGACTGAAGTGCTTCTCAGAAAGGGCTTCTGGCCGGACGGGTGGCTGTACCCGAGCTCCCCTGGGCCAGGGACGCTGAGCTCCCAGCACAGCCGGTGCAGGCCTAGCCCAGCCCACGGGCTGCTCCCAGCTCTGCCTCTCTTCTGCCTCTGAACTGCAAAGCTGTGCATGGACTCCAGGATGAGTCCAATGGTTGTGTTCAGTGACGACATTGGAAATGGCTTGTAACATGGAGAGCGAACCCGAGGCAGGCTCTAGACTCTGCAGGGCATTGGAGGAAGCAAGAGCTGCAGAGGGTGACAAGCAGTGTCCGAATGTCCCCCGGGGCACAGAGAGACTTTTCTAAGTCCCAGGATAACGGGCCCAGCCTGCTCTGGGGCACTGTTCTCAGAGCCGCTCAGGACACACCTGCCCCACTGCCCTGGAGAGTGAAATGCACCTTGTGAGGGGGCTCCAGAGGCCTGCCTCCAAACACTCACCCGCCGCCTGGCCTGCGTGGTTCAGTGGTTGAGCATTGACCTATGAACCCGGAGGTCATGTTTGATTCCTGGTCAGGGCACATGTCCAGGTTGCGGGCTCCATCCTCAGTGTGGGCATGCAGGAGGCAGCCGATCAATGATTCTCTCTCATCATTGTTGTTTCTCTCTCTCTCTCTCTCTCCCTTCCTCTCTGAAATCATTAAAAAATAAAAATAAAAGAGCTGGCCACGCAGGGAAGGAGCAGGTGCCCGCCCTGGTCCTGTGGCAAAGGCGCACGTCCTGTAAGAAGGGAAGATGTGCAGCCAAAGGAAGAGCCGGGAGGGATGGAGGAGGCGCTGGCGCGGCCTTGACCTTGACGGGCCCGGGCAGCAGGCTCAGTCAGGAAGGACTGCTCTGCCAAAGGGAGCGTGGGGCCGAGCGTTGGAGACCAGGATGTGCTGGGTGCCCGGGCAGCAGGCTAAAGCCATAAAATGAAGTGTGAGGTTTCAAAGGTCAGAGGAGGTGTGTTTTGTTGAGCGTTAAAGTCCCTTTGGAGGCATGTAGGCCTCACCCTGCAATTCCAGGGGCTTCAGGTGAAAATAGAACCATTTTCTTAAACAAAACCTTAGTGGGAAACACCACCTTAGTGGAGGAGCCTGGTGTTAAAGGACGGTGGGGTGGAGGCTGCGCCCCGCCCACCCTCCCCGCAGCA